TTAAAGATCGTTATCCAATTAGTCAAAAGCTCATGTAATAAATTGCCTGAATTAAGGTGCGGAATTTTAATTACATAATTTACGCGTGCGCTCTATAACTGCCGGGGGAGGATACCAGGGTGCGGGGATCCGAGTATGGGTGTATTAGAGCCAAGGAAATATGGGCAAGTAATGTAAAAAATAAACAAAGTAGAACACTTAACTGCAGAGCGATGAAGTTTAAATACCCTTCAAATTTAAATTTTATGCGGCCAATGTCAGTTGTGCGACTTTAATTGTATGACCTTAACCAGAATCTGTTGAGCTTTGAAGAGCTGTCGGCATTTTAAAGATTCATCTAAAGTAAAAATATATGATATGGAGCTCATATAACAAAGGAGCTTATAGATTGAGTATTAAATTAAAATATTGTTTATTTTGAATAAGTATGGATAAGGATAAGGATTAATAAAAAGCCAGAATTTATTCATCTTACATCTGATCCTGTTGAATTCAATGACTGATATCTAAAGAGATCTAAGCGAACTTTATTCTTTTATTGGTTACATTACCACGTCACCTACCGTGTTAAAAAATGCAAATAGCACCAAGAAAGGGTATATAGAAAAACAAACAAGCGTTGGAAAAAAACAAACAGAAAAATCAACGGCTAGAACGCAACGGTTAGAACGAAGTCAAAGTGCGTTTGATAGGTCATCTTAATAGAAAAGTACACGCAATTTGTGCGCAGCGAGTCATTAGAAAAAATGACAGTAATAACGATAATTATGAATTTTATCCGATTAACCTCGGCCCAAAAGGTGCGTGGGCCAAGTGACGGGGCATAAGTCAAAAAAATGCTGTAACGCTTCGGCTTGCTCCTTGCTGGGGACATACGAGCATACGAGTATTCAAAGTATTAAGTGCAATGCGTGCCATTGAACAATTAATTCTTATCTACTTAGCAAAGTCACGTGGGTTGAGGTTGAGGGGAAAAGGGGAGGCAAGCTGAAGAACGACTCTGATGCAACAGTCTGTCCTTTGACAGTCGTACTGGGCTGTCACTAAACATTTTCCAGTTCTATTTCCATTTTCATTACCATATTCAGTTTTCGAGTACAAGCTTATGTGACTTGCACCCAACTGCCAACTGCCAACTGGTACCTCCCACCCCCCACCGGCGGGCATTTCTCACGTGTCATCGTGAGGACCGTCAACTGTGAGCTCCAATTGCGTGTCAAATGCGCTCAATTCCGTTATGACAATGCGACGTAATTAGAGGCCACGCATAGGCTCGCCTCATGATAATGATGATGATGATGGTGCGTCCAGTTCAGCGCCGTCCAGGCCATCCCAGCTATGGCCGCTAATATATGAGGCTAGCAACGGGCCCCTAGACCAAGCTGGGTGTGTACCGCACTTGATAAATATTATTGTAAATGGGCCCGAGATGACTGTCGTTCGCTTTTACAGTAAACTGACAACAAAATGGCCACATAATAGGCGTGTGTGTGTGTGTGCGACCGTGAATTTGCATATGACAAGTAACCAATGACTAATACAGACACACACATACGCATACCATATATTCAGTTACACGCGCTCACTCATTTACACAGGCATCGCTGAAGTACAGTTACTTTCTTACATAAACATCTATTCAACTTTATTGGCGATCTGATAACATTGGCAACATCTTTGTGAGCAGAACCAGTTGAGAATTCTAAGTGCTATTCGCTTATGCTTCAAATGTCTTGCGAATTCTATGATATTGTCTGTGCTTTCTATGAGATATAACATCCAAAATTAATGTTGTTTAATCAGAGTATAAATTTAGTTCAATAGTTGTCAACGGTGCTGCTTAATCCTCCACGGTAAAAGTTACTTTTTTCCGATCTTTCTTTGCATATAGTATAACAACGAGGCATCCAACTTAAACCTATTAGACCCCATATCATGCCTAAAACACACGAGCTCGTGTTGCTCGTGTTCTTAGCAATTGAGGTTTATCTTGAACCGTTCGACCTTAAATTAGGCTAAGGCACGATTTCACTAACTAATTTGGTAAGCGGCACTTGCCGATGACTGCACTAAGTATATAATAGACTGAAGCTGATTTGTATTTTCAGTTAAGAGTTCATACCTCGAGCAAAACGTTTAACAAAATGCAGTTCCCCCGCAGAAATACTTTGACTTTCTTCGCCGTTGCTTTGGCTCTAGTCTGCTTTCTGGAGATGGCCCCAAGCGCAAGAGCCGTAAGTATGGAACTAGTTCAGTTCCAGAACCTGTCTGATATATGATTTTTTTTTTTGCCTACAGGACTGTCCCATAGAACAGCTGACGGAGCAGGCGCAAGCTATTTGCAAGCCCTTTATCTTTTTCCCCCCCTGCGCAACTATTGTTCAGGTATGTATACGAACTGTATTTATCTAGACGTGCGCTAATATGGAGTTCGATTTACAGCAAGTCTTGGGTCTACTTAGTTCGATCTGCGCTAAGCCTGTTAAGGATAATGCAAGCTCAACCATTGGTACGCCAACCACAGTTGCCCCCAAGGCTTAAGACAAGTATAATGATTTTCCCTAGATAAAAACAGATTCTTGACTATACGATATTCTTTGCTATACAACTACTATATCATATTCGGCATAATGGCTTGCCTTGCACAAATAAAAATTCACAGCGCATAAAAACATTTCTAGTTGAAGTTTTTGAACTGGAAACTAGATTCTGGGAACTGGGAATCGGTCTGAAATCATTTTCTAATTGCACGTGCAGACGTGATTCCTGAACCGCAGGAGGCCAGACCAGAAGCCGTTAGGGCAACTAATTAAAACCACTTTAGAAATGTTTTCTCAACTGTAAAGTTAGCTATAAACAACGACTCAAAGCAGGTGTGCGTGTGAGTATGTGTGTGTGTGCGTAGATTAAGAGACATATGAAACTTGAAACAAAATTAAAAAGCAAATAATATTCATGGCATTACAGCAAGGGCGACGGCGTAGTGCTAGAAAAAAATTCCAACATAATTCCAAATAATATCACAACACCTGCAGAAGCGTTTCAAGTGCACAGACGCACACACTCGCACACCTACACACACGCACACACACGCACACATTCGCATGCCCCGTGTTAAATGTGTAAAAGGGGGTTTTTCTTGAAAAATCGCTGCACTGGAATTAATTAATTCGCCGCTGCCATTGCTGCCGTTTTAGTACCCAGCAGAAAAATAAAACATAAAAAAAACACCAAAAAATCAGGCCGCGAAATCAAAAAGATATGTGAATCGGGTTTGGACAGGTGCTAGGCGACCCAAAGAGAGCGCTACAGACGCCCAGAGAAAAGCCCATAGAAGAATTATTGGGTATATGAACACTCTCTCTGTATCGAATATTCTTTCTAGATCTTGACGATAAATCACAAATAAGTCCCATAGAATTACAGAAATTTATAATTGACGCAGCTACGCATACTAAAAAGGAAAATGAAATGATCTGGGAATGAAAATATTTGAAATGCTTGGGATAAAAATAAAAATGAAGAAATGGATTAAGTTGAATGGAATTAACATTGTATATAATCTTCATAATATAATCAATATCAAGTATATATAATCTAAAAATTTAAGCCAGCAAAAACCATATTGCCAAAGGTATTTGTACTTAAATTAATAAATTACTATAGCATATTATATATATATATATATATATATATATATATATATATATATATATATATATATATATATATAAAATTTATTAATTTAAGTACAATATATATAATATATATATATACAATATATATAAGTACAAGTATAATATATGCTATATTATATATAAATATATATATATGTATATATATATATAATATTTAGGTGATCTACTCAGTTCTTATCGCATAATGAATACTACTTGTAGTATTCATTTGCAGGATTCATGTTCCATGTGCGACGTATAGAATATTTGATTTTGATAAAAGTCTGAGTGCGTGCGTAGCTGTGCACTTGCACCTCTGCATTTTCTCTTGCTGCCTCTTTCTCTATGTGTATCTCTCTCTTTCTCTACACACTCTACCTCGCCCGTTCGCTCTCCCGCTGGCCGTGTTGTAGTGGCACTTGCTGCTCATTTTATGCCTCGATTGGCAGCAAAGTGCAGACGCTTTTTGCTGGCGCAGCTGCTGCTGCCGTATTAGCAAAAAAAATGCAAAAATAAAAAACACATTGCAACGTTAAGTATATGGAATGACAGACAGTGAAATGTTAAAACAATTTCATACACAAGCAACCCAGCCGAACTGTACAAAGTAAGCCCCATGCAAAGGCGCACCTCAAACGTTTTCCTAATTTGTTGCATACCCGCAGGCTGGTCAGCCAAATGCCGTGTTTAGGGTGACCACACAAGCGTTGACAACAAATGGAAATTGATCAACTGGGAAAATAGGATCAATCGACTAACAAACATTTTGAGTGTGGAGAGCTAGGTTTCTCTATAATGCGTAGTTGTTAAAAATATAAGACACAAAACTTGATTTGGTATTTGGAATCATTTGGGATCATTGTAGATGATGATGGAAAGCATCTGCCTTTTGTTCCTATGCATATTTCTACTTAAATTAATATTTTAATTATAGTTATTATTCTCCTTTTTATGATTTCTCTATTATATTAGTTAGATGTGCATTAAAATTGTTTTTCCGCTGTCTTCAGTCCTGGGTCAGCAGGTAGATGATCATCTCTAAAGATTAACCCAAAAATATTATTGTTTACGTCCATTAGGGGCGGAAAGAGCACGAAAATCTACATGGGTACCTAAGATTGAGATAAAGATTCCTGAAGATCCGTTGCAGATCAAGCCAAATGTATTGTTCTTTAAAAGTCAAAGCCTTCGGGTCACTGTAACCAACAATGTAGTCAAGAAGAGTGTTTCCGATTTAATTGCTAACTAATTTTGGGCAATCGCTTGTTTCAGTTTAAAGATCAAAAATATTTGGCATTTACATAAATATTTGTATTCCTCATTTTAAGTATCTCAGATTTCGTTACAGCTCATTTGCTGCTTACAGAAGCATTTGGGCAGCGTTTAGTGCATTTAATTGAGCAGAACATGCAGATCAGCAGCTGTGATTGGAGCTCGATCTATAAAAGCCTAGCACCGCTGTTAGATGGGTAGATCTATCTATCAACCCGATGGCGTCAACTTGGATCTGCTTTGGCCTCCCGCTGCTACTGTGCCTGTGCACTTGCGCCTGGGCAGCGCCTTCCGCGGATGATTCGCGCCAGTTTGATGAGCTGGAGCGCACACTCAAGGAACTGGCTACCTCGCTGCTGGCCATGAGTGGGGATGTTGCTGGCGGTGGGACTCTTGGCACAGGTGAGTCCACTTCTGCGGCAATGCTCTGTTCATGTTTAAATGCTGCGTTGTTTGGTTTGCAGCGGAGGGCAGCGCCGGGGATCTGGAGGCGAGTTTAATGGGCAGCGAAGCTGCGACTGCTTTGGAGTATCTGAACGAGCTTCCTCTATGAAACACGAGGTGAATGGATTCAGTTCTCGGTTCTGCTAAGCTACGTTTAGCAGCTCTGCAGTGCCCAAGTTTAAAAAGAAGATTTTGGACCTCATGAGTATGTTTTTTTTTTTTTTTTTGAATAAATAAAATATCTTTGTTAAAAGGAACATGATTTAGGTTGAACTGATTCCAAGTGCTTAACACAAATAACTTTAACAGTGTACAATAAACTTTTTTTTAAAACTAGCATCTTTAGTCGCAACATTGTCAGCTAGTTTTTATTGTAACGCGGTTAATTTCCCCATCAGGCAGCTATGGAATCGTTTAATAAAGTAACGAATAAGCACAACTTATATAATATATGTAAAAGACTTTAAAATGGTACCGAAATTATTTGTGTAAAATAAACCAATAAAATACAAAGACAGATACAACGCCGCTCAAATAGCCACCTCGCCTCTATGCATCCGACCTAACCCCAAAGAACTAATTAAACTATTTTATTTATTTAGTGACTTATTATCAAAAAATACACATATTTTGAAAATAAAGGCTTAACCATATGTACATTTATATATTCTGTCTTCTGTCTTCTCAGGCGTTCGAACCCTAAACTTCATGCCGTGCTTATGCTCAGCTGTTAACTCCTATTAATTATTCATTGCTCCGTTGTTATTTTAATCAATATAAATACATTTGTCTATGTGAATTGTGAATTGTTGCTGCATTTCAACCAGCGACCTTTCGCTTTTGAGTCCGACGCTCAGATACCTGAGTCACACAGGCTCATGACTTCACGCTTGCAAAGAAAACTTATAATTTACATGTGTTGTTTATAATGTTTTGCATACAAACTTTGACCCCACTTGGAGGTTGCATTTTGCAAAAATCCCGTGCTGACTCTTTCGGCTTGAGTAATTCTTTCAGCAATTCAGTCAGGGCAAGCTCTTATAACATATGTATGTGTATATAGATAAAATCAAAGGGTCAACACAAAAGTATATTAAGCCAAGATCTGTCTAACTATTATAGTTCAATTGTTTTATATGGATTTCCAAGACTTGCGCGTATTCTTTTAAGTCGCAGCTAATTTCAGATTATACTTATATATGCGCAAAATTTCGACAAATTAACTTAAGTCCTGAACGAACTATGCATATATATGAACACATATTGTGTGTATATGTATATGCTCTGGCAAATTACGCATTCTAAATCTGGCACGATTTGTGTGGCGCACTCATCGCTCTTGCTTTCTCTATCACACAGCCTGTTGCCATCTCTTTTGCACGTCGGCCTACATAGGCAGAGCTCGCGCCAGTTACTGAGCTCAATTTGCGCGCTAAATCTAATCAAGTTAATTTACGCCACCGATTTCTACACATTTGGCACCCCAAATCACTCGAGAGAGGCCCAACCAAAGACAAAGTCTGGGTGTGGATTTCAGTGGGGCTGATCTGCGGGTCCGCTCGAGACTTTCAATTCACGCCGAGTTCCCCAATTGGATGCCCAAGACAATGGGCAGGTGAATGCTACGTTTCAAATAGACGAACTTGTCGCCTCTGATTGCCAAGCAAAAATTAGAAATAATAAACAGCTTTGCGAGAATTTATCAAGTAGATTGCTGAGCTAGCGAACTACCCTGTAATGTAAGAAAATATATTATTAAAGAAATAAATATGCACAATTTTAATTAGTAAATTAAAGTATTATAATGAGATGGTTGGGCACACGAAGTCATAATGGTCACATTTTGCTTATCCTATCACTATCATGCCCATTTTATGTGTACAGGGTATACACAAAAAAAGAAGAAAAAAAGAAAGATGGTTGCCATAATATCATTAATAATAATAGTTGAAACAACAACAGCTCGTAGCTCGCAGCTCGCATCCGAAGTCCGAGAATGTTAAAACAAATCTAAATCAGAAGCTGAATCAAAAAATTTAACAGCCCGTCTGTCGGTCAGTTCGGGCTGCTCGCCCGCTCGCTCAGCTGTAGCTGTAGCTGTAGAAGCGGACCCGGAGACAACTAAGAGCTATCCAACTATTCGCTGGATGTGCCATGTGTATCTGTCAGTTACTTCTGATGCGTGCAGCTGTGCGGTAGCTTACTTTTTTTTTTTTTTTTATTCGGTGACTCTCGCGACTTGTAAGTGCAGCGTGAACAGCTGAAAAGCCGCCTCGTTTCTTTTTGTTGCTGTGCCCTAGGATTTTGCGTCATGCATGTGGACGAGCTGCGTACCAGCCTGCAGAGCTTTGGCTGGCCCGACTATGTGGTCTTTTGCTTCATGCTGGCCATCTGCGCCGTCATCGGCATCTATTTCTGCCTGCAGTTGCGTCGTGAGTCGAAGGAGGTGAAGGCCTGCGGAGGCGAGGAGGCGGCCAATAGCGCCGCCTCCTATTTGGTCGGCGGCAGAAAAATGAAAATCTTTCCCATCACCATGTCGCTAATCTCTAGGTGAGTACGAAAATAAATCATTACGAATGCTTTAGTACAACTATACGAGGGCTCAAATGCCAGGCTTAGGAATCGATGTTGGACGAATTGAATAATAGGCAGAGCTACTTTAAAGTAAAGTCTACAGTTTGTAAATATCGTAATAGTGCCTATCGATAGCGTTTTAGTCGGAAGCGGTATTGTCCGGCTTTGGCAGGGTCAACTTTTCTGTAAGTTTTCTTAACAGTCTTTTGCTCCTAATTTTATAAAACTAAATGTTGTAGAGCTTTGAAAATACGCTTAAGACCAATCATACTTTCGTCTAAGCAAAGATCTTTGAAATTGAATTCGAAGTTAATCGGATGGTAACCAAAAATACATCATATTACACAGCTCTTTCTATATTTTTGATATTTATTATTTCAATATTGGGCCAGAGCGTGAGATTTTAGTGGGCTATAAGAGCATATTTCTAAACATATTGGAGTTAGCCGGGTACAGTAAGTTTAAGCCATAGTTTGCCCCCAGCCTTTGGCATGAATACTCGTAGTATTTGACCTAAGCTGCGAACTATAATATACAATAGTGCACATTATTCAGTGCCCGGGGTACCGTGGTGTTTAATTCGAACTGAGAGACTGCTCCACTTACAGCTAGTTACAGCTGGTCGTCAAGTATTTGTTAGGCTAGTATACAGCTCAGAACTGTGAGCGGTGCCTATCAACGCACCAAATCAAATAGTTTCATATTTTCCAAATGGGTTCGTACAAGCAACGAGAGTGCTGAAAGTAACCCGTATACGGGGCATTCAAATTGCGACTACGTCGCATAATCAACGCCCCGGCGACGAGAGTCTCTCTTAATTAAATTGCATAAAACGCTCTTTGATCTCCAAAGAGTTTTTCAGGCTGAGAACGGAAGCAAATCCGACTGAAGGTCAAGCGGCACTAATGTCTATAGGGTTCTAGTTAATTTGTACATTATTATTGCTTACTTACAGCAGTTTCCTCTTCTATTCTTCACAGCTTCATATCGGGCATCACACTGCTGGGCACACCCACCGAGGTTTACCTGTACGGTGCTCAGTATCTGTACATTATGGGCTCCCTAGTGCTAATGGGCCTGTGCATGTTTTATATATTTTTACCAGTATTTCATGACCTCAACTTGATATCCACCTACAAGGTATGTGCTTAGCTATCGATTGAAAGTTCCCAATGCGACTCAACAGTCTCTATTTAAATCCCAACGTAGTATCTGGAACAGCGCTACAATCGCAGCCTGCGTCTATTTGGTTCAATCATGTTTATTATGGCTTCGGTAAGTGTTAAGAAAGCAATTCATAAGTCTAATAATCTGAATTCTGAGAAAAGTAAATTTGTTTAACAGGCCTACATTTGTAGCCTCAAACTGAAATACAAATGTCAAAATATGCCGACAATTTTAATATAATATTAACCACAGTCAAAACTAGTTTATGCCCTGAAAGAATCCAGTATTAAATGGAATCTCTTTTGTAACATATATAACTCAAATTGTCACCTTCAATTTTGCAGCTATTGTGGCTGCCGATTGTGATCTATGTGCCGGCCATAGCCTTCAATCAGGCAACGGGCGTGAACATACACATTGTGACGCCGTGTGTGTGCGTGGTGTGCATCTTCTATACGTGCATTGGCGGCCTCAAGGCAGTCGTCTGGACGGACGTCGTCCAGACGCTGATCATGTTCGGCGCCATGGCGCTGGTGCTAATCAAGGGCACGATGGACGTGGGCGGGCCGGGCGTTGTCTGGCAGCGTGCCCAGCAGACGGCACGCATTGAGCCGCCCAACTTCACATTGGATCTCAGCGAGCGCTACACCTTCTACTCTCTGGTGCTGGGGGGCGTGGCGCACTGGCTCAAGTCGAATGCGATCAGCCAGAACATGATCCAGCGGTATCTGTCGCTGCCAACGTTGCGGCACGCTCGGATCGCCATCTGGACTTTTATAGCCGGCGTGCTGGCGTTTCTAGCCATCTGCGGGTATACGGGGCTGCTCATCTATGCGACCTACGCGGACTGCGATCCGCTGGAGACGAAGCTGGCGCAGCGCAATGATCAGCTGTTGCCGCTGCTGGTCATGGAGACGCTCGGACAGTATCCCGGTCTGCCGGGCGTGTTTGTTGCTGGCGTTTTCAGTGCGGCTCTCTCCTCGCTCTCCACCGGTCTTAATTCCCTTTCTGCCGTCGTGCTGGAGGACTTTGTCAAGACCTTTCGCCACCAGCCACTGAGCGAGACGCAGACTGCTTATATTATGCGCAGCGTTGTTGTTGTCTTTGGCGTTATCTTTGTCGGTCTGGTCTTTATCGTGGAGAAGCTGGGCGCTGTGCTCCAGCTGACCATCACGCTCACCTCAGTGGCCAACGGACCCCTGTTGGGCATCTTCACGTCCGGTGTCATGCTGCCCTGGGTTAACTCGAAGGGCGCGCTCCTCGGCGGCCTCAGCTCGCTCGGTGTCATGGCCTGGATGTGCATTAGCGCACAGCGCGACCTGGTCACGGGGGATCTGGTTTATCAGCGGAAACCCTACTCCACGCTGGGATGCAATTACACCTTCACGGGCGAGCGACGCGCCTTCAGCAGCCTGCCACTAGATGACGCCATCAGGTGAGTCGCACTTCTAACTAAATTCCCGAATGAGACTAGCTTAAACATGAAATTCCTAATCAGTTATGGAAAATAAAAAGCTCGTGCAACTTTCAGCTACATTTGACTTGACTAGTTTTTGTATAAAATTTTTTTTTACAGCCCCGCATCGGATGCGCCCTTTCAGCTATACCGCATCTCGTACCTGTACTTCACTCTCTTTGGGGCTCTGATGACGATTGTGGTGGGGCTGGTGACGAGCCTCCTGCTGCGCGAATCCGATCTAGATGCGGTGGACACCCGCCTGCTGACGCCCTTTGTGCGGCGTTGGCTGGAGCGACGTCGCAGTCGCCGCACGCAGCTGCCGGCGGGAAAGGCGGCCAAGCACAAGGCGGTGCAGGAGACGACAACGTAAGCGGAGGGGGTTCGGCCAGTGGGTCGTAGTACCTGCTGCCGGCCAAAATGTTCCTTTGGTAGCATAGTAAATATTTAAAATTAAATAAAATACAATTCATAATTATTTGGTCTTTGTGCCACCCGCCTGCCGTCTGTCCACTGCCGCTTGCTGCAAATGGGTTCAAAGCAGCTGCTTTCTGTGTAATTAGAAAAATGCCCGCAGTGATGGAACTGGAACTGGAACCGGGCCTGAACTGACCCTGAACCTGAACCTTTGCCAAATCAAAGCAAACTACTAAGCAAATAAACAAAAAGAAAAAAAAGGTGAATAATAAAAAGAAAAATACAACTAAAATTGTGCCTCGCAACCCACATAAGCGTTCCAGCGGGGGGTGGCTTTTGGGGTGTAAAGGGTTTGTCCTGAGTTTTACTTGTGCTGCTAATTGAATATTTACTGTTTTTCATGTGCGCAAGTGTATGCACATCTGTGTGCGTGAGTGTGTGTGTGGCAAGACTAACTCAACTAACTACTTATTAGTAGTCATTGCCACCCGCTGCCCTTCTACTGCTCAAGTCTTTGTCTCTGCTCGTCCATTTATTTGTATGTTTAGGTCGTTTATGCAGCAAATTGAATTGTTAATGAGCTAACAAATGTTTGCGAAATTAGTTTTCAGCTGGTCAACAACAAACAGACAACTTCAAACCACAAAGATTCATTATGCAAACTGTAGTAGAGTATCAACCAGAGTCGTCTGGACTTTGCCCGTAAGAGCATTCGTGAGACGAGCAAAGCATTTTGTCAGTCCAATTGTCAGCTCTGCATGGCGATAACTCTAGATAACATATAATAAATAAGAATGTTGCAGTCGGGTAAAATCGACTGCCAGATACTCATCGGTTTGATACTGATATTGATTTTATCGATTGATATATATTTATAACAATACGTTTTTGTAATCTGTAGAGGTTGGCTCTGTCATTAGAGGAGATCCGCAGTTGTCTACTTGCAAAATTGGTTGACTATAAGGCCAAGAAAAAATGGCCAGTCAGTAGGCTGAACCGAAAATCATTTAAGGGCGATAGAGGAGACGCTCCATAATCCCTAAACAGCCTACGTGACAATCCAGCTCCATCCCAATAAGCCGACTTTGACCCCGTTGCCTTGGTGGACCAGCTGTGTTGTCATAATCCAATAAATAAATATTTCATAAAAAATTAAGTCAGGAATTCGTATATCATCAAAAACTAAAGACGAGCTATAACTTTTTCAAAAATGAAAAAATTTTACGCCTGATACGGGCTTAAAACCTAACGAATTTTGTATAAAGACATCAAGTACGAAAAATCCGCGGATCAGCACGCAGTTTTTCTCTATGTGTAGCTTTCAAGCTATGGGAGATACAGATTTTCGAAACTCAGTAACTGTGACGGATGTAGAAGAGTATGCAATAAGTCAAGTTTCAAGTGTCTTCTACACGGACAGGTAGACGGACAGCACAAATCCAATAAACTCTTTTACCTTTCGTGAACGTGTATAAAAATTGAGGAAAAGGAGCCCCGCGTATCCTTGACGCAGCCGCTAAACTAATATGCTGTATAGAATTTCCATTGCTAGTTGGCTGCCTCTTAATTAGCCGCTACAAAAATAAGTTCGCACAAAAGACAGCGGCGAAATGTCATCAGAATGCATAATGACAACGGTTCGTTATGGACACCATGGGCAGGAGCACCAGGGAGTGCTGGCCGAGTGGGATAGGGGAGGGCGAGTAGCTGTTACCTGGGCACTGGTGCTGGTGCTGGCCTGCGGCCAAAGGGAAACCCTGCTGCAAATCTCACAAACAGACACATGGCACATGTGCGCCACCTTGCAGCGCATTCAAAGCTGCTCGCATGCATGGCCAGATTCAGTGCCAGAGCCAGTGACAGCGGCAGAGGCAGAGGCAGCGACAGTTGTCATATGGGTGGATTGTTTTTTGGCCACGACGGAAACGGAAGCTGCCCCGCTAGCTGGCACCAATAACAACAACAGGTACAAACGCTGCTCAGTTAACTTGTTTATGTCGCTGTTTGCTTTTGTCTTACTTTTTATGTTGGCATATAATTTGTTTTTGCACGCCTCTTTTTCCGCACAATCAAGCCATATCAGCTGCATGCAGAGTTTTGCAACACTGCTACATGAGTTATGGGCCTAATCATATATGGTTTATACGGGCTCATCACTATGCAGAGAATTTCAATTGATCTTAAAATAATATTTATATCAGAATTGTATAATTTTCACTCAAGAAATGAAGTTTTTTAGATGATAGTACTGATTGTATTCATAAAATTTAACCTTATATTTTCAAAGAAATTTTCCTTGCATTTTTAAGAGATATGATTCAATTGGCCAAAACGATTATAAAAACAATATATATTTTTAATATTTTAAATGAGCACAATCGGTAAGAAAACAAATGAAATTCGCTCTCTCGTTGTAGAGTACTCGTTTCTTAAAAGTTGAATATACTCTCAAGTCTGGATAACTGTGAAGTTCTTTATTTACAATACATATTTTAATATTATTTCATTAATTCCGTTTCCAAAATTCGTTGCTTGTTATACTCGTTGATTATTGCAGTTTTCTCGTTGCTTGAAAATTCGGTATTTTTTTAATCTGTATAATTGTGACGTCGTTAATCTAATTGGAATTGGCTCCAGTACTTGAATATGATGCAGCTGCATATGTAATTTGTCAAAATATAATTGCGTTTGTAAAATTTTACTAATTGTACTCGTTGATTATTTTTCTCGGTCTCGTTAGCAGCTTAATCGTTACTTCGCTTGTCAGCTATATATATATATATGAAAACAGCTGGCACCGGAAAAACTGTTTTCCTTATTCAATTGGGATTAGCTCTAGTACTAGTACATGATGTATTTTCTAATTATACCCGCTGATTATTGTATTCGCTCTCGTTTGCAGTTTACTCGTTACTTCGCTTGTCAGCTTTATTTACATATGAAGACAATTGACAATAAGTAGTTGGGATCGGCTATAGTTGTCACACATGATGTATCTTAAAACATTTAATTTGGCAAATTCTCGTTGGAGTAGACTCGTTACTTTGTATGTCGTTGTTCTGCTATCTAGCGACCCGTTTTATGGTAGCGCATTAGAAGAGCAACAAATTTCAACTTCAAATAAACTACAGCTGTTGACTAGGCTAACCTCGCGGCTATTAATGCCAGTGACAATTTGCAGCGGGTTTACAAGTAGCCCAGCTCACATCGCTCCGCCCCCACGTTCCACTACTACTGATCCTGACCCGACCCTAGCTCCGTTACCAGAAAAGCTGCCCGGAAGAGTTGGGGGCGGCTGCTGCTGCGGTACAAAAGTCATTTTTGATTGTTTTCATGAAAATGAACATAGAAAAATTATAATTAAAATTCATATGGAAATTGTCGAAAAAAGCATATTCTGCTCTGCTCGGGCTCAGCTCTGTCTGAACAATGGAACGTTGGCCTTGTTGTTGTTGTTGTTGTTCTTGTTGCTGGCGCCACTGCAGGCCAAAAAAGATTTCATCTGAAAAACCTAAAGACCAAAGAAATGCAACCGGGGGGCAATGGAAATTTTTTCGGGGGCAGGGAGCGAAAGGGTGGCAAAACTGGGAGCCAAGTCGGTTGAGCTGCGGGCGTATTGTTTGTGGAACATGTGTTAAGTACATACACACACACACACACACACTCGCACATAGACTACATAAAACGACAACAATGTCAGGTCTAACAATATTAGGAGAACGGCCTCCACCTGAGCCAGCAACACGGCCCCATTCTCTTGAGCCGCTGCCCCTCGCCAGCCCCCAGCGGAGTATGCAAAATGGTCAGGGAAACGCATGCCGGCTGCTCATTTTCTTGTTGTCGTTTCATTTTGGCACTTTTCCTACACTTTTATGCGATAAAATATTTAATTATATTTGGCAGCTTGTTTGTGCATTGTGCGGTCCGCCTTTGCCTTTGCCTTTGCATTTGCCATCCAATTAACATTGCCCTGGGGAACCGGTCATAGCTACCGCGGGTGTAGCAACAGGAGGGGAGCGTGAAGAAGGAGCAGCTCAAATCGGTAACTCTGAATGCGGCTCGGCTCCAGATTGGACTTTCAGCAGCTGCTGAAGAGTACCAGCTTTTTCAAAGCAACAAACGGGATCGGAAACCATATAAGAATCAGGGCTGCAAGTCAGAAAGAAAAAACAAATTTGATATCTGCAAAACCTGATCTATTATAAAACACCATATTTGTCGATTTTGGAGAAACGGCGTGAGCTATCGATGATTCAAAATTTTCGACAATGTGATCAAAACTATTATACTCTATGCGGAATATCTGTTAATATATCTAACAGGACGATAAAATGTATCTGCATCTAAGCGAACTATCAGTTCTTGTATATTGTTGCCACATGTGGCAGCCTCATGGCTCCAGCAGCGGTACGAATGGAATTAAAACTGGTTTTTTAACTGAGTTCAGAACGCTCTCTTAAAAGTATGCTGCGATCTTTTGAGGCACTTTATTTCAAATATGAGCAATAAACAATCGACTGTCAATTTTAGCCAGGTGCCACCGTGGCTCTGGTTGTAGCCGCTGTAGTAGTTGTTGTTGTTGTTGTTGTGGTTGTTGTTGCTGTTGTGGTTGGCGCTTGCCTAACGATCGTCACACGTATACAGCCGGCGTGATCCGAGTGATCTCCAAGTGGTGCGGCATACAACTGCCCCAGGTCGCCCATCAGCCAGAGGCAGCAGAGCAAAAGCCCAATGATATGCAAAAAGCCGCGCATCGAATATGAAAGCCGAACTGAGGCGCTGAGACGCTGAGCCACTCAACCACCCAACTTGCCGACAAAATACAACTGCCGGCAATAGTCCGCAGTCATCGCTGATTTATAGTTGTCTTCTGGCTAGAAGCGGACAATGATAGTAATTATAAGCTAAACACTTCATACTTTATAAATTAGTTGTCATCGTTATTTTTTTTTTTGTGTTTAGTTTAATTTCATTTAGTTCTAACTAGAGACGGGCACGGGCCAGGTTTTTACAACACGGCCCAACACGATCACGAAATTAATAAGTACAGGAAAAGTTTATCGACAGCCCAGCCCAGGCCAGAACAGCACGACCGAAAATATGTGGGAATCTGCTTCCAATATTTATTTATCAATATCTGTGCTATTTTCTTATTTGCATCGGAATAATTTCGAAAGTCGTGTTTAAGATTTTCACCGGGGATCGCACGGAACCGCTCGAATCAGGCACGAATTTCAATTTTGCTGCACGGACCCTTCGTGCGACGGAGAAAAGCACGGCCCGTGCCCATCTCGATTTGAAACGTAGATTTTCAGATAAATAATACGTTTTCATTGTTTCTGGGGATATTTTTTGTGCCCGCTAAATGCATTTGTGAATGCATTGGGCAAGCTTTGGAGGCTACCTCGTGCCCACCGAAAATACTCCCACAGCAACTGATGGATATTAAAATTATTTGACAACATTTGAAATATAAGCTATGGGGCTGTTTTTTGTTTTATCCGTATGACACCTATTACAAATATAATTGTCCGTCCCTCTCTTTTTTATGCTCATGCAATTATCTTGCTTGAACGTGGCGATTTTTTTTCCGGAAGATTATCAAGTAAATATGTACCTTCATCTGGGATTTTCGGTTCCGGTTTTATAAAGATTGCTGATCACAGCATTTATTATAAACAGCCACAGAGACAATCTAGCTGTCGTCCATGATGTCAGTTTGGGTAAATTCCCCACTCACGCAAACGGTTAACCTTGAGATTCATCGTCATGATTGTTTCAATAGTAAAAATATTTTACATTCATAAATATAACAAAGCCTCTTCACTGGAACTGATGAGTAATACATTTAAGCTTTAAATAAAAACTTACTCATCTAGATCGACACATTTAAATATAAGCATATGATAAAGCTTCAATTGAACAGTATGCCCATAATTTAATTTGAAACAATTGAAGTAGTTCAGGCAGGATTAACTTATGATCAGGGCGAACGAGGCGTATCTGACTCTTTTTTGACCAGCATCAACTACCTATTCGCACCAGCTATATCTGTCTGTAGGATCGTAGGAAACCGGCTCTGAGTGGGCAGCAGTTCAGTTAGAATTGGTAAAGAAAATGCTAGACATTTCTGCTAATGCAGAGCATTACAAGTCATGATCACTCGCGTAGCGTATTATTTATGTGAATAAAAAGTTTGCTAGCTTAAAATAAGCTTTCAGTTGTTACATAAATTTAAAATTTAACTACAGCGAATATTATTCTGAACTAAATCGAATTTCGAATATGCTTTATTTACATTTTTGCATGTAAAATACACAGTAATGGGCAGGCTAATACCTTAATATATAATTATTAATTCTTGTAATATTTGTATATTTTTAATGGAATTGTGAGAATTTGAAGCCAAACGCACTTTGCTTTACTTTTTCATATTTGCTTTATTGGTGGGTGTCATTTCTATGTTACAGTGCAGAATTTATATAGAGTTCCAAAGATGCGTAGGTCCAGGTGTGAGGTCCATGTCAGCTCAAGCCATTAGCCGGAGGAGGCGGCTGTGGTGGTGCGTGGCGGCGGCGGTGGTCCTCCACGTGGCGGCTGTCCCGACGGAGCGCCTGCCACGGCAGTTAGACTGGCCACAGTCGACGAGCCATGATGCTGAGCACCCTGGAAAGGCGTTACTCTAGCTGCGGCCAGTTGCTGTGCGGGATTACGGCAACGATTAGGCCATTAGTTTCAGTTGTGGAGAGAGTCGGTTGGACTTACCAGCAGCACGGCCAGGGTCAGGGCTAGTATCAGGCATAGACGCATGTTTGCTGATGCTGTTCGTTGTGACAGTTGTTGCAATATGTGTCGAGGCTGCCGCTTATATGGCCCGCGGCTTGCCAGCAAACCTGCGACTGCTCCGCCCCCCTCGCCCGGCGCAGCTTATGTAATTGCAGCAAACGTGCAATTATAGGGGCACATTAAAACCAAATTGAGCTGTTCAAATGCTGTTGATCTTTTTTTTATTTATATTTTTTTGTATGTAAAACTAATTTAGTCGCGACTTTGTTTTTTCAAGCTTTTTCGTCGTGTGCCCCCCACAATTATCATGTGCAGTGATGCCATCGCTTGGATGAAATGATTTTTGTTCTGTGGCTGGGTCTTGTGCAGGTTCGAGGCCTAGAACTCCATTGGGCATCACTTGGGGTGTTCGCAAACATTTAATTTGTCCAGGCACCACAGCTTCCGCAATGCATTATTCGTTTCCTTGTTGCGATCTGTTAAAAGTATATGCCAAGGATATTTTAGGAAAAAATAGCACAAATAGGGACAACATACAGCGCAAATGGAGTCCAGAATCAGCCGGAATCGAGCAGGGATTGAAGTGCGGACCCTCGTTCTTATGTTGACGCTTTTGGGGGCTACTGCCTGCCAAGATGTTCAGGTTTGGCTGCGTTACTAGCTGCGGCAGGCGATTGCTTAGTTCTTGATGTAGCGGGCCCTTGCAGAAGATTTCTTCCATGGGCCCGCCCAGAAAGGGCGGCAGGCAGTCGTCGTACGGATGGTTGCGACGCCAGCGCTCCCTAAAGCTCTTCAAATCCATGATACAGAAAATTTAGGACTTTGTAATGCGGCAAGATTGTTCGCGACTCTAAACTATTAATTTTGGGTTGTATGACTGCTACAGGCTTGGCAAATTTATAAGAAACTGTTCTGCGTTCCTTACTGAACAATCGAACTATAATACTTGACAGAAAGTAGGAACTTTGGTTGCTTTGCCTTGCACGTCAGAACATATTTAAATAATTTATAGGTTTAGTTCCTCAAGTTAGGTTCTCCTCTGAAATGCAAGCATTTTTCTTGGTTTGGGACTTTCGCATCATATAAGAAAAACGCAGACGTTCATAAGCATATTGTTAAGTATTGATTGACTAATACCTATGCATAAGTAAGTGCCATAAAAGCTCTCCCTCACCCCTCAGCGATGTCTGCCCATTAATAATGATGAGTATGTAATATGTAAGGCCAAACTAATGAAATCTATCCACTGCCACAGTAGCTCATTTGCCAGTGGTTTTATATGCTTGAGCCGCCCGCACTGCTCGCTCTTGTTAGCCATTTGATCTACTGCGACTGCTGATGATGATGTCTGCCGAGTTCGGGGGGAATAAATATAAACGTGTCAAGCATCTTTTATTGCGATTTCTTTATATGCGTGCGCTGGCAACAAGGTGTGCAATACATTTAACAAAATTTGTGTAAAGAATTTCGAATTGTATGAAAAATATATTTGTATCACTCACAAGTCTAAAAATTTCAAAATTTCAATTTAATTTAAAATAAATATAATTTTTATATTTGTTTCATCGAGCTAAATAATTTATTTTAACATTTTATTTTTCACAAATATTATTTTAAGTAAACAACAGTTTAGTACCAAATCAAATACGGCTTGCTTTAAGCTTCGATTCAGAACTTAGTGGATAAATAAACTGGTTTTCATTTCTGTTCATACAACATAAAAATTCCGGGCTCAAACCAGTTCAGTTCAAAATTCTCACTATTTTTTTTAATGATAAAAAACATTTGTTCTTTAAGCCATGAAACTATGGCAATGCTACACCCATATGGAATATGTCCTACTCTATAGTATATATACTTTATCCTGGAATTCAAGCTTTGCTACTCGGTATTCAATTGCCGAGACCTGTACGGAGTATATTTTGTTTAATCCTGCTTCTTTTTTTTCAGTGCATGATTTGATTGTGTGGTAGTTGGGCAAGTGTCATGTAGTAGAACTTTGACAGATTTGAGAATAGGGCACGGTAACACCGAGAGAGAGAGAGAGAGATAGAGAGAGAGAGAGAGAGAGCGTGAGGCAGAGAGAGTGGGAAAGCGCGCTACACATCGAAAGAAAAGTCGTAAACTACAACCAAAGATGACGATGATGGAGGGTGAAGCAATACCGAATCGTAAAAGGCGAAGGCTTTTGCCTCCACTCCTAAGAAATGTTCTTCTCCGCGCATGGGAGTGTGTGTAGTAGCATTTATTGGATTTTTATGATAAGCAACGACAGGTCGACGACAGTCACTCAAAGCTTCTGCGTGGATTCTTTGATTTTGTGTTGTGTTCTTTGGCGTTTGTTGTTGTGCTTGTTGGAAAGCACTTAGAGGGCAAATTGTAGCTCTTATCGCTAATAAGATGAGAACACACCAAAAAAAAAAAGAAGCTAAATAAATAGGTAAGCAGGAAACGTGTGCGAAAAGTGGCTTGAAGCGTGCTCTTGCTGCCAGTTGCGAGCATCCTGCGCAGTGCTATCCTGTCAAAAGTCGCCACGCACAATGCAAATCAAACAAACAATAAATTCTGCGACGGACATTGTTGCATGTAATAGATACAGTTGTAGTTGCAGTTGCGTGCTTTCCCCCAACCTCTGGGGCAGCCTCTAGGTCGCCCCTCCTTCAGAAGACAATGGCGCACACCGGCAGTAAAACACATGCATATCCTTTAAACATTAAGGATATCCTTGAGTAGATGCAATTTTCTAACCAATATAATTCATAAATTTATTTTCAATCCTTTCCGCACATAAATTTTCATATTATGCACACTCACACAGGTCCTTTTTTCCTATAGGCCTATTGTGCTGCATGTCCTGTGCGTGTGTTTGTATGTGTGTGTGCGTGTGTGTGTGTGTGTGTGTGTGTGTGCATTATTATTTGTCGTCGTGCTTGTCATTATTTATATGACCAGGCAAGAGATAAGTTGCTGCAACATTTTGCTACTAAGGCGTAAGGATGTGTTGCAGCTACACAGCTACAGCTCCTGGCCAATTACGCACACACACACTCACACACACATACACACACACACACACACTCACACACGTCGATATAACATTGCAGCAGGCATGTCCTTGGGCCTTGCAAGGTTTGTTGGCCCAACATTTTGATTTATAAATGCCAACGCCGACTCCTCCGACCCCTATGCCGACTATGATTCCGATTCCGACTTTGAGCCTGAGTCTGAGTCTGGAGCCCAAATGCTGAGTTCTGCGTCCTGCGTCCTCTCACTGGCGCCGGAAGCTGCAGCTGCTTTTGCTGACTGGCTACAGCTACGCCCCCGCCGAACCCCCCTCTCTTGTGCAGCCTGTTGTTAGGTAGCCCAAGTGGCCATTAATATATCAGTTCAATTCATATTTGAAATTTTGCATATTCTAACACGCCAGTGAGCAGCCGACTCCGACTCGGACTCCGACTCATCCTTGCTCTCGTCCAGCCAGTTGCCAGTTAGCAGTTCCCATTGCACACGCATACGATTATGATTTGTGTCTTACTTAATGCAGAGACAGATGGGGTCAAGAGGTTGTTGTTGCTGCTGCTGCTGCTGCCGCTGTTGCTGTTGCTGTCGCTCGGGCTTGGACTGTGGGACAGTGGGTCGGCCAGACAGTTGCTGCCCAGTCATCGTCTCAATCTGATTGATTTAGAATTCCAATTGAGACTACATGAAATATGTTTGTCTCGTGTCTCCAACTGCCTTCTGGCCGCTGCTGCCTCAGTCTCCCTCCTCCCTTGGCCAATGTCTTCTGACGTCTGTCCAGTTCGGGGCGCTGCTCCTGCGCCCGAATGCCATTTATGCATGGGCATATCCTTTTGCGAAATTAGCATTTTCCAACAATCGCAACAGGAACAACAACAGCAACAACAACGACTTATTGGTATTGCATTGATTTATGACACTTGTGAAACAATTTGGAAAATCACAGATTAGCAGGCCAGGCAAGCCAAGCAGGTGACTCGTAAACTCTACTAATTACACCCAACGCTTCATTGGCCCATTCATAATACACTTACACACCTGCACACACCTTCCTCAATCTTTTGCTCTAGCACAATATGAAGTTTGTCATGTAAATCGCAGGCAAAACCTCACAGAGAGGGTACTGAGTGGATTTGGGGTAAGTGGTCAATTTAATTACAAATCATTTTTGGGCCATCTAAGTAAAAACTCGACTAAATACAGGGCATCAGCTGAATTAAATATGTTACCCATATCCTTTGAGCAATTATTTAAAATACTGTTTCGTACATACTAAAGTTTTTATGTATTTTCCAAAAATCGATGGCTAAGGATCCTCCATAGAAAATTCAATTCAAAAAAGGTTGGCCTTTTCAATTTGACACTCAAGCAATGTAGTATTATTCAATACAAGTATTTAAAGCTAAAGATAAAGAATATTGTGAAATTTTGGATTAAAAAACCCTCAATCAGCTAGCAATCTTATGCATGTACTCATTATCTGGATACCAATTAAAGTGACGCTCTTTGTGATACAATCAATCAATAATATAATCTATCATTCACTCAATCAATCAGCTAATCATCTTATAAGTTACTCAACCAATCAAGCATTCAATTGATCAGTCAATTGGAATTAACTTAAGTGTAAGCGGCTGTGATCGGAAGCTTTAATATTTCTGACCAGCTTTATACAGCCTCAATCAGTTAAGCGTGCGTACAATCAATCAATTAAGTAATTAAGTAGGCGCCCATAAATAAATCTTTCAAAACTTTTGGTTAAGTCATAAATTGATTTAAGTAGTGTAAAGCTTCAGTTTCCCACAGCTCATTATGTTAACGAATGCAATTACACCACAAGTCAAGCAATCAATCAATCGATCACATATATATTATATGAGTACACATAAACTAGTTAGCCGGGTTGCTTGCCTGAGAAATTATCTAAAATTAGCTGAACAATCGAACCATGCCGCCATGCCCCCTTCCTGTGCCCATTTAAGTGCTACGACTGAGATTTATATGTCAACCCCGAGTGCCCAGCTGTCCATATACACATACATGTACGAATGCCCAACCCATTCGGAATCACATTCAGATTCAGATTCGCATTCGCATCCTTTTGCCGGCTTCCGCTGGCTGTTGAACTAACGTGCAGTGATTAGGCTACGGGGCAACAAACGATTTGTTGCATGTTGTTGCAATTGATTGTTGCAATTTCAATTTTGAATTATGAGCCCTGGCCCTGACCCGGGCCCAGGCCAAGGCGAGGCAAGGCAAGGCCAGGCAACGGCAACGGCAACGGCAACGGCAACTGCATCCTTTGCCATTGCATCCGGTCGCTGCCCGCTTCCGCCTGGGTGTGACTCACACTGTGTGTGTGTGTGTGTGCATGTGTGCGTTGCTGTGTGTTTATGTCGTTTGCATGTTAATCCCCCGTCTCAGTCGCAGTTGCCATCTCCCTGCCACTCCTTGTTGCAAGTGTGTGCAATGTGTTGCAAGTTGCATTGGCAGCGTCATTCAAGTGTTTAGTGATTTATTGAATGCCGTTAGAGCTGTTGCAACCACCCCCCCTCCCAGTCAGCCTCCTTTGGCCCAGAGCCGCGTGGAGATTAGCACAATGGCTTTGAGCACTTTTGACAGCTAAGATTTGTTTATGCGCCGCCGGCCCCAGGGTCTTATCTTGGGGCGAGTCTGGCTGGTCTCTCGACTACATCTGAAACGGGCTTTGGGCGGGTGTCAGCGTCGGAGTCGGAGTCGCAGTCGTTGTCTGGGCTCTGATTCATGTCTTTGCATATTGGTAACAAATTTGTGGTAATTGATTTGAAATTGATTAATTAAGTTTACGCCACAGACGATGCACAACTTTGTTTGCCAATGGCTTTAACCGACTGCCATCAGCAAGCTTCCCTCCTCTCGCAAGCTACCTCTCTGATCAGCCATTGCGATTGTTGTTGCAGCTGGGATGCCAAGGTGCAACCGCAAATGGCGGCCTTGCCAGCCAACAATTCTTCAATCCTTCAATCCAGCTCACCTCTGCGCCACTTGCATCTGCTCCATTTGGGTCTGGTTGCAGGGCCTGGGGCTTGTTTGAACGTTATCGACACGATTTGACATATTGAATACAGTAAAACGCTGCCAAGCGGCAGACGACATGTCTGCCTGTCTGGCAGACTGTGGCCGCCCGCCTCCCGCCGTCGCCTGCCGCTCATCCTCAGCCATGATTGCCAGTTTGTTTCCTTGTTGGCAGCACGATGCGCGCGTGTTTGTGGCTGCCTTTTGGCATTTGCCTGCCAAATGGTGCATGCGGCTAGATACACATGCAAAAATATGGCAAATCGGTTTAACAAGGCAGCTAACAGGCGGCGGCACTCCAGACGACATCGACATCGACACTGACACTGACGACGCCGACGACGTCATCAACGAGAATGTTTGTTGACACGCCAGGCAAGGGCTCTGGTTCTGGCTCTGGGCTTCCA